TTCACATACATTGTTTAAACGTTCATTATTATAAGGTTCAGAATTAGACAATAAACTATTCTGCAGCGTAAAGCTCAATGTGTAGTCCAGCAACTATGTCCGTAAAGTAAACAGTTTGACAGATGACCTTTCGTTGTGGCGCCATCTCACGGGAAAATAGTAAAATCTCTTCTCGCGAAGGACTCGATTTTGATTGTTATAATGTCATAATGACTCTTATTTAGTAAACCTGATTGATTTGCAAGTAAAATTATTCATTTTTGTAATTTTTTGCTCTAAATTTCTATTTCCGACGAAACGGCTCGGACAATTTTGCTATAAACGGGTGTTGAGCTTATTTTAATATATATTTTCGAAATCTGTCATAAAAAACGTGGTGCTAATCCGGTCAATATAGACTGGATTTAGACCTACCGTGAGGTAGGTACTTATCAGTGATAAGTTAGCACTAGTGCGCAATGTAAATATAAGTTATGTAACATTATCCTAACCACTCAAACAAATTGCAGTAATTTCGCCCAAAAAATGAATCCCCAAATGGCATTTTAATCATAAATATGCAAGAAACACGCCAGCAATCGGATTTTATTAAGATATTTAAAAGCCGGAAATTGTTTTCGAATTTTGATTCTTGGTGATTTTGGTTTTATCTGAAACTTAAATTTGATAACTGAATCACAATCAGGAGGTGAAAATTATAAAAAAAACATGTCACGAACGAAAATATCGGTTCAGGTTTAGTGTTCGCAAATTTTCACCAAAATTTCATTTTTAAAAGTGCTCTTTGCTTAGGCTCTGAAAATAATGGAAGTTTCTTGCTTGTCGCTTGTACAGAATTATTCAAGAAACAATCTTTCACCATTTTATCTTCTTGTTCTTAAAAAGACTGAGTGTATTGTCTACCAAAAAGCCTTAAATGTACTCTTTTGAAAAAAAAATCATATTTTCGTTGCTAAGATTCCAATTCGAAATATTTGAAATCCTATACTTCATTATTTCAAAATAAAAACGAGAAAAAATATATTTTTGAAAAACCGTAAGCTTTATATCTATAGCATGAATTGCCAGATGATGGGGCTAGCAGAAATCACAGACCAAAATAAAATCGTTCAAGAAACAAAAAAGTTATGTCGTTTTGAAAAAAGACGAAGTTTTTGGTCGCGACACATTGAGTGGTTTATTTAGTTTATTGTGTTAAAATTTCAATGCAAATAAAAATTGACAAAATGGCACAACCGCGCGTGTTAAAATTTATATTTATATATGTATATATATTTATATTTATATGTTCTGCTTTAGGTTTCCACGGGCGTTATATGTATTAATGGTTTTCCGGGATCTGCTCCGTGTTGTCGGTTTTTGGTTCTTAAAAGAACCGTATGTCTAACGATGTTTCGGTACAATCTCATGTACCATCAGGTCTGGCCGGCTGTTGCTGCGACTCCAAGTCTAACTCGCAGCAAAGCAACATCCTGCCAGCAGATAAGACCTGAAGATGGTACATGAGATTGTATCGCAACGTCGTCAGACATACGGTTAAGAACCAAAAACCAATAACACGAAGCAGATCCTGGAAAACCATTATATATATATATATATATTACTATAGTTGCCTTCTTTTAAATCCGATGGGTTCAAATCACAGCAAAGATTGAAATTCGCAAATCACTGATGCCCAACAACGGGAATAATGAGTTAATTATTCCTTTTTTTAGGCGGGGAATTTATAATAGGACTAGATAAAACAAATTATTTAACAACATGAGGAATTTAATGAAATAATATGGCTCTAAAAACAGTGTAAAAGTAGTGTAAAAACAGTGTAAAAGTAAAACGTATATTAAATATTTAACAAATAATATTTACATCTTTTTTGTATATGTACCTATATGAAGTTAAACAATACGTTTTAACAAAGTTTAGCAAGTGATTTGTACAATCTAGCTATACAATGTAGCTATCGCTTTTCATATGTATGTATCTTTTAATACCAATTGCGAACTGCCAGGCAGATTAAAGTTTTTTAAAGCTAGCACTAATAAAAAATCGCCTGCGATCAACAATGAGACAAGAAAGAACATTAGGACTTGTCTTATGTCTTGAAACCGGTTTAGTAAATAATATAGACTATGAAGACATACTTAAAGATTTTGCGCGGCTTAAGGTGCACCTCATGAGAAAAATGAAATTGTATAAAAGGTAAGTGATAAATTGTAAAGCACCTTAAAGTATACTCGATATTTTTGGTGTTGGGTTAATTTTAACCGCTATTTGGACTATTCCGTTTAGTTGGCATCGCTAAAAAATCCTTACTTCCAAGAAAATAAGGACCTCAAAATAGCCAAGGGCCTCCAAGTTGCTTAACCCAGCCCTGGCCATGCTCCTCATCAAAAAGTCCCACCTTTTCATTTGAATACAATTAATTATTTCTAATAATTATAATAATATTTGTATAATTGAGGTTATTTTTTTGATAATTTAACACAAATTTCGTCTTATTTTACAAAAATAATACAATATAATATATATATATTTATATATACACATATATATTTACATACATACTATGTATTTTTGTGTATAATGGTCTTACTTTAGAACACAAATAAATATATTCTGTGGGCTTATGCCTAAGTCAAAAAAAGCAATTTTTCAGCCTTTAACATGTTCGCATTAATTCAGGAAATATATTTAAGCGAGTATACGCTTTTGTTAGCATATGACATTTGCTAACAAGAGGGTATACCCGCTAACTATAAACATATTTCCTGAATTAATGCGAATACGTTTAAGGCTCTACTGAAAAATTGCTTTTTTGACTTATCCCCTTATGCCTTTTACCCACAGTATTGTATTATTTTCATAAAAGAAGACGAAATTAGCGTTAAACTGACAAATAGATAACCTCAATTCTTTTATTTAAATGTCAAAGTGACAATTTCGGGTGTGGAGCATAGCACATACACATGCGTTTGTTTTATTTTGTCTGTAAAACATGTTTAGGCACACATATTAAATGAAGTATGTAACTAAACTTTCCTTTTAATACCACCAATTTCGAGCTTAAAACCGGTCCTAATGTTTAATTAAATCTACTAATTAATACACTGGATATAATTTAGTGAAGTAATTAATAATCACCAATAATTATTAATAACAATTGCAAAATATTTACATTTATAAAATTATAATTTTTTAATTAAATTTTCAAAACTTAAGTTTATGGTTAACCCAAATTAAAAGTTATATTAAATATGTATTAAAAAATTAAATAACAAAAAAACTTAATAGTATATTATTATACGAGGGAAAATGCAGGCTATTATTCACAAGGATGAGGTTTGCGTCTCGAGCCGTCAATTGACGACCTTGCTGCAAGAAGGATGCAGCTAAAAAATATACATTCTGAGAAAAACGAAAAAAACGTTCTGAATTTTTGTTTCAATGGATATGTAATTTTTAGTTTTACCCACAGACCTGGTTTTACCTAACAAAAGTATTTTATTGTTTCGACCTTTACTTGATGAAACTCCATGTCACTAATATATAACTGGATAAAAAACAAAACACTTTTTTGAGTTTCACGAATTTATTTAAATTTTTTTGACAATTGTTTCGCTAACACTGTAGCTTCTTCAGAAATGATTTCAAAAAAATCAGCTACAGTGTTAGCGAAACAATTGTCAAAAAAAATTAAATAAATTCATGAAACTCAAAAACAGTGTTTTGTTTTTTATCCAGTTATATATTACTAACAAAAGTACTTACTTTAAAAGAAATACACACCAAAAATATTGTAAAAAAATTAAACACAAAGCACATAATTCTGATTTGTTTACCGGAGCTACCTCCTTCTTGCCCCAGCGATGAAAAATTATAATTTATAGTTAACTTTAAAAATAAAGAACATTCTAGAAACATTTTTCAGTTTTTTTATTACAATTTTTATAAAAATATAAAAAATAAATAATTCTAGAAACATTTTTCAGTTGATTTATTACATATTTTTTTTAATACCTAATATTTATTCATTTTCATCATTGTCAGTACATTCGACTCCACCATTATCATCAGCTTGGTAGAATGTTAGATTTTTACAAAAAGGTAAATCATTTTTGGGAGAGTAACTTTTGATGATATATTCTTAAATTTTAGTTAAAAGAATAATACAAATTTAATGGTAATCTGTAATTCTTGGATTTTTTAAATAAATTTTGAAATTTGACGATAAAATTTAGCGAGTTGCACCACTTTAATTTTAATAATCTTAATTAGGGGTGACAGGGGTCTGGTGAGGCGCGCTGAAAAACTAATTTTTTTTCGCAAACTTCAATTTTTGTCTATTTAATGTCATTATAAACTCATATAAGTTTGGTGTGGGTCCCATGTCTACTAACTGAGATATGGGTATACCTACCCAAAATCCACAATCCGCCACTGATACTCGTTTGGGGCAAAACAGACGCTGCTCCTGGACCTACGTCTTTCTTGCTCCAATCGACAAGTGGCGTATTTTGAATTTTTCTTCTTTAGGCATAACTGTTATTTGGATTTGCTTCGATTTTGCACCAAACCATAGAGAACATTTTATAGCCTAGAATGGGCCCACAAGCTTAATTTATGCAAAAATTGGAGCTGCTTCCTTCTTGCAGCAAGGTCGTCAATTAAGTAATTTTCATTGATAACAAAATTTATTAAAACCTCACTTTTAATTGATTTTAAAGACCTGTTAACCTTACTTTTTCCCAATTTAAAACCCGATTGGTTCAAACAACAGTGAATAAAGAAATTAGCCAATCACTTATGCCTAACAACGTGAATAATGAGTTTGATATTCAAATTATTAGGCCGGGCGATTATATTGGGTACCATTTTTTACGGAAAAAAAATCAAATAATGTCAATAATATGCAATATAAGCATAAAAAATTATTAAATTATTACATTTTGGTAAATGTGCATAACTTGTTATAAAATATTAAGAACACATTTTTTTTTCAGACACATAATGTGAATTGCTGAATCGAACTATGGACACATTTATTATCCAAACCATACAACAATAAGGTCAGTGTTTATTTTAAAAATGTACCCAACAATTTTTTTTATTATTTAGTAAAATTTATATACTCTCTTAAAATGAAATGGTAAAAATTTTACTATTTGAATTAGTACCAACATTGTTTATTAATAAAATAGTCGTTTTTACTATTAAATAGTTGTTTTTTAATACTTAAATAGTTAAAGTTTAAATAAGATAAGTCAGCATCTTTGAATGTTTTTAAGAGTAAAAAGTAACTAATTTCTTTAATCGTTTTTAACTCTTGCGGTCAACAACAAATTATTGTTGGAGTTAAATGCATGTAGGTTCCATTGTTAAATGGTCCATTAAAACAAACAGCAAGACAAAAAATATATTCGGGTGTATGATCTACAGACCCCCATGAATCCCAGAAAATTGTTTACCTTCGTTATACAGGCTGCTTTTTGAGTATGGGTTTTATGTTCTTTTATTCTAACTTCCAAAGGATGTGGGTGAAACTAAACGTCCTTTGAAAGTAAGAATAAAAGAACATAAAACTCATACTCAAAAAGCAGAAACATGCGTGGAAGGAACACCATAATATAAAGTGGCAAGAGGCAGGTATAATCAATAAGGAAGAAAACTGGTTTAAAAGGAAGTTTAAGGAAGCAGCATACATATAAAATAACTCTACAATATTTAGCCACCCTAGCGTAGAAATCAAATAAGTATGGAAACCCCTCATCGCACGGATCGGTGAACTCAACATGAATGCACCCGACCGGATCAAGCGGAAGTTCCGCTGCGGAACAAATACCAGTAGTATAAATAATCTCGTGGTTTTTAAATTTGTCATTATCACCTGAAGACGATTGCAGATACTTAGAAATTGAAACGTTGTGAATTAATCATAAAAAAAAGACAATGAAAGTCCAAAAATATGTTTCTTATTAACCTTTATCCTACCAAAAAGTACGCCACTGATCGTCTAGGAACTTTAGGCTAATCTGGTTGACGAATTTAATTTATCACGTTATGGTTGGTAACAAGCACCGTTTTAGTCAGGTTCCAGCACTTGACAAGGCAAGACGCATTGTAGCAGCGACAGCTCTTAAAGCGTAAAAGTTTAAAGTTTAAAACCAACAATAATTTCTCAAAAGTGGAAACTAAAACAGTGTAACGGTCAATAAAGAGTGAAGTGTTTAAGTGATAAGAAAGAGGTAAGTGACAAGTTTCAGCTTCGTCCTACCACTTGTCATTGGACGCTTTTCACTAGGCAAACAAAAGAGGTCAAACAAGAGGGGAAGTGGCCATCCGCAAAAATTGATAAGTATCCTCAAGCATATGCATGCCCTAACACATAATTTGCAAAATTAAACATGACAGGTATCTTTAAAACTCTAAGAAATGCACACTGCCTAAACTCTAGAAAAAAAAACAATCAACATCAGTAACAATAAGAAAGACAATACTAACACCATAAAATAATAAAGAAAAAAGACAAACAACAAAAAACAAAACTTCCCAATCGAACTATCGCGGTGATACACCAAAGCTGAGTAAGACAATAAATCTGTCAACAACAAATGCGTAATGCATGAAACCCAGTAACTTAAAGAACGTTAACCCAAACGAGAACAATAATAAACATTTGACACAGAATATAAACTAACACTCAATAAATCATGAAAACCCATACATAGTAAAAATTTTCCTAAAAACAGCATACTAATCAAACTCTATTGGATTTGTAAACACATTAGATATACCAGAATTTTTGCGCTTGTCATTTATTGTCAACTAATAAATAAATGCAATACTTAATTTTGGAAATTAAGAAAAAAAGAGAAAACAATTCTACCACAAAACTTGCTTGGGCAACACAATAACTAAAAAATTGTTAGAAATTTCGCACTACTGCGGCAATAAACATTTAAAAAAACATCAAAAGCCACAACTACTGAACTATCTATTGATGGTTTTCAGCCTCAAGACTGAAGACACATGTGCAGGAACAATCCTACTTAGACACGAACAATAACGACAAAAACGTAGACTAAGACGTAGGCTCCTGCAGCAAAATAACAACTCCCGAGCTCCATACAGTAATCCCAAATGTTTGGAGTAATACTAACTGCCTGGTCTAGGAAGGTACCGCATCGTACTTAGATTTGAGTCGGCGTAATTGTCCCCCAAACACCAAAATATCTATCCCTCCCGTCCTACCTCCTTCATGACCCTACTGGGTGTATAGCATCGGCTCGACGAACCCTGGAATGGCTACTAAAACTATTGGCATTTCGCTCTCGAACCCTAATTAGGGGACAGTACGGGACGCAATGGACATTCGCAACCAGCAAACACGGGTGAAGCCGCGCCGTTGCTGGTGGCGAAAGAAAATCGGCGCAAGGAAACAGGCCTATGCGGGGCCGGGAGCGATGAGGCAATGGGGCCGGTAATACCTCTCTTATGCTCACACTCATACTCATATGGTTGGTAACAAGCAGCGTTTCCAGATTCTGTCAAAAAAGTTGCAAAATTTTGTTTAATTTGAGCTTAATTACAAAAAAGCACAAAATCAGCAATACAAATTGTTAATTAGATGTTTTTATTAATTGTTTATTATGTCATTTTTGTATCTTAACTAAGTAAACTGCTTTTGGATTTATTTACACAAATTTAATGTTTAAAGTTTAACCTGTGAACTTGTCCTAATTTCATCTTCAATTTGTGGTTAAGGAGTTTTCAAAATACTTTTCTAATTTTTAATTTCTTTTCTAAATTTTCTAATCATTGCTTAAGCTAATAGGTGGATGAGTAAATAAATACAGAAGGGTATTAGAGCTTTAAGGGCATAACACTTTTGTATTTATTAAGTTTTTATTTATTTTTTGCAAGACAAATTTTTAGTTACAACGCGGCAACGCGCAGCTACTTTGTTGGTTGGTATACACTTCGCATCAAAATTAACGCACCACTAAAATTTAGCACAATTTCATAGTTAATATGGGTTAATATCGATCAACAAAAAATAAGACGTCTGGTTCAAAGTATGGGTCGTCGATGTCAAGCGGTAATAGAGAGTAGGGGACAAAACACCCGATACTGAATGTTTTTTTTTATTTTTTAAATAATTTTGTTTTCGTTTTGTTAAATTTTGAAACTTTTTCTTGAATAATCTCAAATAAATGCATTTGACATTAAATTCAGTATTTCATTAAATAACAGAGCTAAAACCATGAATAAAAAAACAAAATGTTCAGAAAGGATGGGGCTATGTTTTGATTAGAACATGCATCTATTGGTGCATATGGAAAGTCTCACAGGATGCGACAAAAATTAGACAACAAACTGGTTTCTTTTAAAACACCCTGTGTATGCATAAAACTTCGATTTAAATGAAAAGTTGTTTTACAGAGTCATTCCTGAAGATTTAAGCTGCAATTTAAAAAAAAAATGTCAAAATCGATTCAGCAGTTTGTGAGAAAATTAAACTTTTTCTTGAATAATCTCAAATAAATCCATTTGACATTAAATTCAGTATTTCATTAAATAACTGAGCTAAAAACTCGAATAAAAAAACAAAATGTTCAGAAAGGATGGGGCTATGTTTTGATTAGAACAGGCATCTATTGGTGCATATGGAAAGTCTCACAGGATGCGACAAAAATTAGACAACAAACTGGTTTCTTTTAAAACACCCTGTGTATGCCTAAAACTTCGATTTAAATGAAAAGTTGTTTTACAGAGTCATTCCTGAAAATTTAAGCTGCAATTTAAAATATCAACATCGATTCAGCAGTTTGTGAGAAAATTAACTTTGAATTTGTGCCAAATTTTAGTGGTGCGTTAATTTTGGTGCGAAGTGTATATGGACTCACAGAACCCAAGTGTGTAACCAGTGGCGTATCTAATGCATATTTTTTCTTTATCTTTGGGAAAAGATATTTTAAAATATTTTTTCGTTACACCTTATGTCATAAGGTATTCAGTTGTTTAATATATTACATTAATGACATATTTGGAGTATATGCTTAACACCCTGTATAAAACAGGCTAATTAATTGTTTTTTATAAATAAATCGGCGTTTTTATGGTTTAAGATTTTTGAAGAAAATAAAAACTTGTTTTTTTTTAGAAATTGAAAAAATAAAAGTTAGTTTTGGCTAAAACTTATAAAAATTTTGTTGGCTCTTCTACGCCTTCGTAGTAAAACAACACAACACAAAAAAACAAAAGAAAAAACAAGTTTTTATTTTCTTCAAAAATCTTAAACCATAAAAACGCCGATTTATTTATAAAAAACAATTAATTAGCCTGTTTTATACAGGGTGTTATGGATATACTCCATATATGTAATTAATGTAATATATTAAAAAACTGAATACCTTTTGACATAATATGACCATATTATGGTGTAACGAAAAAATGTTTTTAAAAATCTTTTCCCAAAGATTAAGAAAACATATGCATTAGATACGCCACTTGTTACACACTTGGGTTCTGTGAGTACATATATACCAACAAACAAAGTAGCTGCGCGTTGCCGCGTTGTTAATAATAATAATAATCTTTATTTAGCTGATTCGCTATAAAAAACATTACATAAAAAAAAGATATAAATAAAAAAGTAAAACATAAAAATATAACACGGAATATGGTGAAAAACACAATAAAATAACAAGATATAAGAATGTAAAAACTATATAATAAATACAATATATTAATGGGGATCACAATTAGTGTTTTAAGATAATAGATTTAGTTAACAATTTTCTAAAGGTCTGGCAAAAAATAAATAAAAACTTAATAAATACAAAAGTGTTATGCCCTTAAAGCTCTAATACCCTTCTGTATTTATTTACTCATCCACATATTAGCTTAAGCAATGATTAGAAAATTTAGAAAAGAAATTAGAAATTAGGAAAGTATTTTGAAAACTCCTTAATCACAAATTTAAGATGAAATTAGGACAAGTTCACAGGTTAAGCTTTAAACATTAAATTTGTGTAAATAAATCCAAAAGCACTTCCCTTAGTTAAGA